AACAATTTTTTTGCACTTGATATATAAATAAGTCAAACACGAACAATGATTTGTTCATTCGTGTTCGCCTCATTTTTTGGCTCAAAATAATTATATATATATATAATATTTTGTGTGTGTGTGTGTGTGTGAGTGTCGCGTACCCCGACTTGTTGGTTGGCAGCTGCGAGTCAGTTGTAAGTTCCTTAAAGTCGAGGGTTTGATTCCCCCTTGCGACTGTCGCTTTTTGAAGGGTGGTACTCGAATTTTTAGGCACATGGTCATTCCTTTTTAAATATATATTTATATATATAATCAATTAAAATTATTAACTAAAAAAATAGAATCAAAATATTAATTATATTTAAATGAATATTTTGATATAAATAATAAAATTTAAATCTCGTCCCTACCATTAACTTCATAAAACTACATGATTAGGGATGTCAAAATGACTCGTTGTTCGCAAACAGCTCGTGTTCGGCTCACTAAGCAAACGAGCCAAACACGAACTATTTTATTGAGCTCGATATATTAATGCGCCGAACACGAGCAATAATATTTTTTAACTGAGCATGAGCCAAGTCTAGGCTCGATCAAACTCGACTCGTTTATATTCCTAGAAGAAAGTCGATCCTAAAACATAAGGACAGGCGGTCAGAAAACTAGACCAAATGTGAAGCAGTCCCTACAACTATGGTGCAAGAACCGGAGCCTATAAGCTAAAGAACTGAAGCCTATAAGCTAAGGACTTGCGTCGGAAAAGAAGTTCCACTAACCTGGAGTGAAGATCTTCTCTTAAATTTAACACTTTTTTATCAGTAACTTCAATAAAAAGCTTTCAAACTCTCATTTCTTTTATGATACTAAATTCTATGACACTTTCTAAAATTCCAAAGATCAAATGAACCCTTTGTTGATTAAGAGTCAAAAATTTCGGGCCAAAGAAACCCATGGGAACTGAAAGAATCGAAACATCGCCAAAACATGTATTCGACACTCGGAAAACTAAATTTTTTATAAAAAAAACAAACGACAACGACACCATAGACGTCTGATCGACATGGCTGGCTTGGGAGTTTCCTTTGCCATAAATGTATGTCTTCTAGCCCAAGACGAACAAACCTTTGGATATATTTTTCTGCTAAGGAGTGACAAGATCTGCGAAGTGTATAGCGACAATCATCCTAGAAGAGGGGTTTAGGAGGCCACCTCCCATTAAGAAGATACCTAACCTAAGACTAAGGTTGAATTGAGTGGCTGGGACCCGCACGTGTGAGTGGATATAACTAGGCTTCAACGGCCCAAACCAATACCGTCAACGACTTAAGCCACCTGGACAAAAAGAAATGATTGGTCGTGACGCCAAGATCGTTCGGTTGAGCCTATAAAAAAGAATTTATTGATCAAGGCGCCAAAAACGTCCGGGTGATAAAAAAAAAACAACTTAGCTGAGATTACAAGAATGTCCGACTAAGCTCGAAAATGAAAATGTCCAGCCGCAATGCTAAGATCTTCGGAGTGAGCCCAAAATGAATTAGTTGGTTGTGACGCCAATATCATCTGACCGGACCTTAACTCATTCAAATTTTCCTCATTTTAGGATATGACTTCCTACCCAGCAACGACAAGCTCTGTGGGGAGCAAAGGGTAAATTATTTTGGGAGGCCGTTCAAAAGCTTACTAATTTATGCATCGCCAAAGGATGAAGGTCGAGCTATCAGCAAGCAGGATACTGGTTAGAATTGGTAAGCCAAACAAATAAAATGCAAGGCAAAAACTGAAATATAGAGAACAAAAGAGAAGCAAGAAATTTACATTTCTTCAAGCAAAGGGGTTTACATGTGATAAGCCTCTCCTTCCATTTAATATGTCTTTTTACAATGATTAACTTGTGAGATATCAAAAGTGGTCTGTAATTAAGTCTAAGCACCCTACTTCGTCTCCTGGCCCAGAGAGCTTCGCCTAAGTCACGAAAAAATATTACCTCAGGAGTACTGATGCATCAGTACTCCAATGAGGGGGTGCCACGTAGGCAATGGTCCCACCGTGGTGCCTACGTGGCACCCCCTCATTGGAGTACTGATGCATCAGTACTCCTGAGGTAATATTTTTTCCTAAGTCACAGGTAACTTCCTTCGTCGCTCACCGTTTACAGAAGACTTTGCCCTCTATTTCATGGCCCGGAAGACCTTTTGTCCGACATCCTCGCTGATCTTGACTAACTTGGAAGGGCAACCTCTTTCCATAATCACTAACGACAGAAAAAAAAGGAAAATAAAAGAGAAAAGATACATTAATTCATCCCTATTTACAGGGGCTCTAGCACGAAATTCTAGAAAGTTTCAATTATTGTGCATTTAATAATTATGAATACATTTAGATTTTTAAAAATTAAAATTTTTTTATCATTATCACAGTTGTCGAGTAACAGAATCGGGGAACTTAAATATGTACATTAAAAATGTGTCAGCATGAATCTCAAGTAAATCCATTAGTCAGTAGGGGCGATGACCAAGCGAGTTGGAGCCCACTAGGACGAGTTCGAGTGTCCGTAAACATCCGCCCAGCTCTTGTTGATCGGAAATCTATCCACATGTAAGATGAAAGTCAACAACCCTCATAAAAGGTAACACAGTTAGATCTCGCGCTGACAATCCAACAGGATTCCTCATCCAAGTCGGTTAGACGATAGAAGCTGCCTAAATCTTAAACAAGCAACTGACAGTCTCTAATCAATTGTTTGGACATGGCTGCCCGAATCACAAACCAGTTGGACTCCTTTTTAGGTTCCGGCCCTATGTTTATGTAACACTTAAATCAACCCCATCTCATATCTACTTCACTAAGGGTATATGTGTAATCTTACTGTTCCTTTTTCAATAAACAGTATATATGCGTCACGTACTCAGATCAGTTGGTCGGGCATTTGTAAGTCTCCTCTAGTCTAGAGTTTGATTTCCCCCGAGTGTAGAGTGTTGTACTCGAATTCTTAAGCTCTTGAAGGATAGTCGGGGCTCATATAATAGCCTCCGATCATTTCTTTTTAAACTATATATATATATATATATATGCCAACTAAACTTTAATTTTTATATGTATGTAACTTTGTTTAGGCTTGAAAAAGGTATTATTCACCTTTTTCAAGTTGAAGTAATGATATTTCTTATTTTATATAAAAAATTTTGAGAGGTATAAATGTAAAATTAAAAATTGGGCGGTCGTATTTAAATGCCTCCCAATTCTTCCATGTTTACATATCTACCACCTAAACTTTAATTTTTACTTATATGCCACATTACCTGTGCATGAAAAGATAATATTACCCTTTTTACAATTAAAATAATAATATTTTTTATATGACATAAAAAATTTGACAGGTATAAATATAGAAGTTATAATTTAAGTGTTGGATATGTAAATTCATAAGAATTCCACCTTTTATGTATGAAAAATTGTTGTTCTTCTTGTTTTTTTTTTTTTTTTTTTTAAAATTTTTTTTTGTCAAAATAAAGGTATTTTTGATGTGATATAAAAGATTTGGGAGGTATAAATATAAAAATTAAAGTTTAAGTGTTAGATATGTAAATACATAAGAATTAGGTGGTATGTATGTAAATGCCCCAATGGGATGATTTAAATGCACACAACACCACACAATTCTTATGTATTTACATATCTAACACCTAAACTTTAATATTTGCATACATGCCACCTTATCTATGCATGAAAAGGTCGCGAGGTATAAATGTAAAAAATTAAAGTTTTAAGTGTTAGATATGTAAATACATAAGAATTGAGTGGTATGTATGTAAATGCCCCCAAAAAATAAATCCAGTGCTAAACACAATATTCACACCAAAAGCTCTCCATTTAAAGCATAACATAATGTCTTGCTTCTACATGGCCAAAGCATAACCACCATCACAAAACAAAAATGCATAAAATCAGATAAGAGTCAACACAAATAACATAACGAAAAATTATTGTATGCAGACACCGCATGCAAACATACATGCGGTGTCTGATCTACACCGTAGATCGCAGTAATCTACAGTGAGAATATATTTCGGTTGGCTCCATTTTAAATTTTTAAAAAAAAAATGACTGCATCATCGTCGTAGATCACCGTGATCTACAGTGTAGACCGGACACGCATGCATCCTTATGCAATAATCTTTCTAACATCACAGGATCTTAATTTAATTGCAGATTTATTTTGGAGGCCACAAATACACAATCATCAGCTATATCTATTTTGCAAATCAATAGCACGCCAGAGCCATAACTCAAATGTGACATAAAGACATGAAAAAGGATGGAGCGCTTATACAGGCGCACAAAGATGCGTGATTTAGCATGTCAAACCCCACATTGAGAAGCAAGACTATAAAGATAGACAAGTTCAAGAGATTTTTGACAATAAATTAAAAAAGCAGCATTTACATACATACCACCCAATCCCCATGTATTTACATATCCAACACCTTAACATTAGTATCTAAACATTTCATAACACATCAAAATATCAACTTTATAACTTTTAAAAAAGTGAAATACACCTTTTCATGCATGTACATATCTAACACCTTAACATTACTTTTTAAATTTGAAGTATCTAAACATTTCATAACACATCAAAATACCACCTTTATAACTTTTAAAAAAGTGGAATACACCTTTACATGCATGGGCAATGTGGCATGTATGTATATATTAAAGTTTAGATCTTTGCTATGTAAATACATGGGAATGGAGTGGGATGCAAGTAAATCATCCTAAAAAAATTTGCTTTACTTGTTCAATTGCTCAAAGTATTCCAGAACATTAATAACTCAAATCATTGATTGTTTTATTCTGAAGTAAAAGATGAGAATTGAATGAAGTGTTCGTATAAAACAATTTCCACAACCCAAACAAAAAAGCAGTTTGTGAAAACACCAAAAGTTGCAATTTTTGACCGGACTCCACATCCCAAATGTAAAAAATACTTAGCCAAAAAGGAAATTGGGCTGTGAATATCAGGATAATAACAAAGCACATATATTGAACTGATTTCATACACACTATATTACATATCATATCCATTTTAAAGGCGCAGAATTATACAGGAGATAATATGTCCTAGACATAACAACTGAATCTATAACTAGACACTAATCAAGCAGCAAACAAGAGCAAGTAGCAGAACTACAAGAAAAGCTTCACAACGATAGCATAAAAAACAAGCACTTGAAAGTAAACGAGATGGAAGTTACAGTTACTATAACAAACCAGAGGGAGACTACTGCTGAATGTAGTAGTATGCTAGAGGATCACCCGCGGGGGCGGGGGCTGCGAGCGCATGGATAGGCCCAATATCCTCCTTCCCCTCCTCCCTGGGCACAATATCAACCAAGAAATCAAACACATCCGTCCGAGTGATGGCCGCAGCAATATCATTCTTTTGAAGAGTGCGGCGCTTGTTCTCCTCGGCATGAGCCCAGGATCTATGGGTGAGCTCGAGAATGAACATTTCGCAAGCCCGAGCAAAGACGACCGGAGCCTCGGCTGCGATCATCCTAACATCCTCATCAGCCTTCATGATCTTCTTGATCCTGGCGAGGGGGAGGCTATGGTTCTTGAAGTCGGTTGTCTGCTCGATTTCTCGGTACTGATCTGCCCAGAACATCTGGAGCTGCTGCTGCTGCTGCTGCTGCTGTTGCTGCTGATGGTGGTAGAGTTGCGGATAAGCCGGGTAAGGGACGTTGGCAGTTACGCCCATCGCCGCCTGAGATCCGCGGCCCTGCTGATCCATATCAAACAATTCGGCCCTGTTGCAGAGGCGAAAACCGGTTGTGAATTCGAAGGTTTTTGGAAAAAGGTTGGTTTCTAGGGTTAGGGTTTGGGGGATGAAATTCAGAAGAAAAGCATGAGGACAGACCATCTGCTTAAGGATTCTGAGAGGTTTACCTCTTGGTGATTTGCTCTGAAGCCTCCGGAGATGGAAAGAGCAGGATTCCGGCAGTGAAGACGCGGAAGAAGAGAAGGACCGGCGCAGCAACGGCCCGACTTCCCTAGCGTTTTGCCGATAAGAGTCAAGAGTACGGACCACCTAACTTTTTTTCTTCACTGTACAACTTTGTAGTAGAAGCAAATAAAATATACTAGGCTGGCCGGCAACTTATTTGCTGAAATTACAGTAATGCCCCTACAGAGTAACCTCAATTACAAAAATGACTATTGTTATAGTGATGCACCTAAGGAAATCTTATTAATATTTGGGGCATTTCAATACATATCACTCTATTTTTTTTAGACATAAAAGCTAAATTTCACTTTTTACATTCAATTTATTTATTATTTTTTAAATTCTTGTAGGACATAAGACCCTTTAATGTCAAGAGATTATGCCCAAATTCTACAATAATACCGGTGGATTATGCCCATAATCTACTACTATTGAGAAGAAGAAGAGAGAGAGAGAAAGATTGTCCTACCTTCTTCCTCCTTTCCAGTTTCATTTTTACAATTTACACTTATTTATAAGTCTTAAATATCATTTGCTAATGATAAAAATATATATAAATGTACATAATGTAGGGTTTTAATCGAGCTAAGTATATCATAGTTCGAACTTGCCTTAATATAATTAAAAGTTGTTCGTGTTCGGTTGGAGCTTGTGTCAACCTTTTATATATTGTTCAAATTTGACTAGTTCAAATTTTTATGTTTGAATTTGATTTATAATTGATTTGCATATAAGAAGTGAACAAGTATTTAAACGAACTAATAAACTAGTTAAAAATTCATATGAGTATTTAGATTTTCATATAAATAATTTTACAAATTTGATTGCACTTACTAATTTATCGATTATAAACTCTGTAAAAATGATATGTAACTCATGAACTATCATTATATGGGATGTAATTTATCACATTTTAGCATGATTATACTTCCAAGTTTACACCCTACTCTCACATTTAGATGTAGGTGTTGGTTTTCCCATAGTGATAGGACTTGTCATTTTTCTAGCTTTTTTGGAAAATTTTTAGATGTTTTTTTTTTATATTGAGTTGTTGTATCATCCTTATTCTTAATCATATATAACTTACAATGATTGCATTGCACTTTCTCAACACCATTTTTTAATCGAGTAGGACTTATGAGCAATATGGAAAGGTAAAGTTTCATAGATCCTTATAGAGCTTGATCTCGTCATTGTCTTTGATGCTTGAACGTCCTAGTAACTCAGGGTTCTGTATTTTTCTAGCAAAACTGACAGATGTGAAATTGTGGGAGGTCAGGGAAAAATGACATGTGTGAGGGTATAAAGTTAATTTTAAGAGGCATTTCATACATACCACATGAGTCTTATGTATTTTCACATCTAACAACTAAACTAATAAATATAATTAATCAAAAAATATTATTGATATAATAACATATTGCTATTAAATCTAATTAAATAAATTCTAGTTAATTAACTTTTATTTAAATGACATATTATATATGATACGAGCTATTATCAAGCTTAATATCAAGTATTTAAAAAGTTACTTATTAACAACAAATGAGTTTATTCGTGAACATAAATGAATAAATTCAATTATGTTCATGTTTACTTCATTTACGCTACAAGTTTTTAAAAATTGTTCCAGCTTGTTTATTTACTAATTTGAGCAAATATGATCGAGTCGAGTTCGAGTTGTTCATCGAGTACATCAGTTCATTTACAACTCTAATATAAAGTTAAGTCATATCCACCAGCTTTATGTCATGTCCTTCCATGTAGCAAAATTCTACGGTTAGGTAGTTCAACTCAGTTCAACCATATCAGTAGGTGGGCTCAGTTTGATCATTTCGGCAAGTGGGATCGGTTCAACCACTTCGACAAGTATAGTAAATTAGACCACTTTGAAATATGGGCTCAGTTCTACCACTTCAACATGTGGGCTCAGTTCGACCACTTCAATGGGCGGGATCAGTTCAACCACTTCAACAAGTGGGATCTATTCAACCACTTCGGCAGTTGGACTCAGTTAGACCACTTCAAAATATGGGCTAAGTTCAACCACTTCAGCATGTGGGCGTAGCTCAACCACTTCAACGAGTGGGATCAGTTCGACCACTTTGGTAGGTGGGTTTATCTCGACCACTTCATCAATTCATCAATTCTGGAGTTTAACAGATTAGCTCAGATCAACTCAATTCGACAGCTTGACCTTTCCGTCAGTTCGTCATTTTGGCAAACTTTTTTATGTGCATACATTTAGTTCTCTGATTCACTAATCCCTTCAAAAGATAACTCCAAAAATCATAAGAGAATGAGAAACTTGAAGTTATGCATTACTTGTCACTATAAGGCAAGCATATACTTCATTTATCAAAAAAATGAATTCATTGATACAAATGAAAACTATTTTGATAAAAGTAAGTGGTGAATTTTATTATGTACTGAACATTACGCCACATGAGAGCCTTAGCACTCCTCTAAGGAATCATTCTAAGGGCCTTTGGTTACATTTGAAGGATTTTGCCATGTAGGCATTATGGCTCGCATTTAGATACTTTATAGTTAACTCGACGGTCTTAATAGAAGAGTTCCCCGAGTAATATGAGGAAAAAAATAATAAATTGTTCTCATTTTTTTAAACAACTTGATGGATTGTTTCTTTGTAAATTAACTCATCTAAAAAAAATTATTGTGGTTTCATTAAACTAAAACTATCATTCAACTGATGACACGTTTGCTACACTTACAGGGAGAAGTCGGCATAATTTTTCAACTTTACTTATGGTGAGATCTCATAGTATTCAATTCTTAGGTTAACTAACTTCATCCTTTATATCACAAAAATAGTTTTTCCAAAGTTTTCATAGCATTCGACTATTGAGGCGAGTAAGGTATAAAAGTTCGGACGATTTTTCTTTTACACTTAGAATACTTGCTAACTACGGGCAACTTCATTAATTTAAAAAATGAAAAAGGTAATTAAAAATTAAATAAAAATAATTAGATGCAGTAGAGTTTAAATAATGTGAAAAAAATATTTAAGATTAAGATATCCTATCTTATATGATGAAGGTTCTTCTAGTGTGATCTTTGTTGTCCCTCCAGAGATGTATCCACACTCACCTCATCTTTCAAGATGTTGAATTCTTTTAAAATGTAGGGTCCCATACTATACATGGGTTATGCTCAAATACTAGTAGCATTAAGGAAAAGATAGAGAGAGAGAGAGAGAGAGAGAGAGAGAGAGAGAGAGAGTGAGTGAGTGAGTGTGTGTGTGTGTGTGTGTGTGTGTGTGTGTGTTTATGTGTGTGTGAGTGTCCCCCAAATCCTTTTTTACATTTTATCCCTATTTTTAAGCCCTAGGGTGACCTTTTTATCATAATATAAAAATATATAAATGAATATAATGTTAAGTCATATCTAGCAATTTTATGTCATGTCCTGCAGTGTTAAAAATATATAAATGAATATAACGTTAAGTCATATCTAGCAGTTTTATGACATGTCCTGCAGTGTTATGTCATATTCAACAATTTTAAGCCATGCACTTCCAAGTAGCTAAACTCAACAATTCAGTGATTCAACTCAGTTCAACCACTTCAGCAGGTGGGCTTAGTACAACTACTTCGACATATGGACTTAGTTTGACCACTTCAATCGGTGGGCTCAATTCGACCATTTCGGGAGGTGGGCTCAGCTTGACCACTGCAACATGTGAGCTTAACTCGACCACTTCGGCCAGTGGGCTTAGCTCGACTACTTTAGTAGGTGGGCCCAATTATATCACTTCATCAATCCTACAGCTTGACATTTCAACACACTTCGGCTCAATTCGGTAGCTTGATAGCTTGGCTCTGTTCAACAGCTTGACGAATTGGCAAATCTTTTTAGGTGTATAAAATATCACATTAAAATTATCATTATTTTAACTTTTTTTATAAGAATAAAATACATCTTCTCATGTATAAGCTGGAATCTATGTAAAAATTAAAGTTTGCATCTTAAATTTATAAATATATAAGAATTGAGTGATATATATGCAAATATTCCTTACTATTGCTATAGCCCCTCTTATTATTTGTAATATAAAGAGGGAATTTTTTGTGTAGTTCCATGGTTTTATATGGTAAACGTTGGTTTCCTGATAAAAAAACTATGTAATTAAATAGATTTTTTAATGTGAAGTACTAACTAGAGGCACCAATAAACAAACAAATTAAAAAATAAGTTTATTTGGTTTGATAAAACATGCACACCCTAGCTTTTGGAGCTCCTTTTCGCTATTATTAGCTTTTCTTTTTCATTTTTTTGTTCAAAAGTTATTATAAATTTAGTTTAGATTTTTTTAGTTGTACTTTTCTTACTTCATTTTGAAAAATATTAGAAATTAAATAGATTTTGAGAATCTATAGGCTCCATTCATAAATTTTTTTTTCTTTGTTCAATTATATTTCAAATCATTTCAAATCAAAGATTGTTAAGAGGTGCAATGAACTAGGTTTACAATAAATCCTCTTTATCTTAAGAACATGATTCTCATAAAGGAAATTACTCATTTGTCTGAAAGCTTGCCAATATATCATGTTAATGTTGTGATTCTTTTAATCTTTGAATTTGTATGTGTACTGATGCACTATTCGTCGGCATAAGCTTACAAATCATAGTAAGCATCAATGAAAACTTCTCTAATGTTTGTTCATTCTAGTGCATAGTTACATTGAACTTACCACCAATTCACTTCATTCATATGTCTATAAATGCAATATTTATGTCATAGTAGGTGAAATAAGAAATCTACTTTATATTTCTACTATTGGTCCAGAGTTTAGCCCCTTTATGTTTATCTTACCCTTGAATGAACTAAGATAACTTTTTTCTCTTAGAAACATAAACATTAAGGTTCATATTGCATTAGTTTAAGGGTCTAACTCTGTTTGCAAATGTGGCTTAACATGCATGTGATTACTATAACTTCATCCTAGGGGTTGGAGACAAACTAAACATAACCTCATAAATTATGTTTAAAGATCATTATTATTTAAAGAAATTAAGATTTAATTATGCCTATGTTATTCCTTACTAAACATTTTTTCTTGCATGAAAGACCATTATATAGAGGTT